TGGAAGTCGACGATTAAAATTATCGTCGCGAAAGAATTATTTTCGAACACGCACGATTCTGATAACTGTTCTTTATGCGCTGTTGCGATGACACGAGTATAACGTTGCCTGAAATATCGACGAATACTCCGGGATCCTTGAGAAGGAGAATTTTGTAGAGAATCATGCAGTCGGTGGGACGAAGATCAAATTATTTGAAAAAGAGGAACGGTGAAGTTTTTCTAGATGTAAATAAAGAGACTGTTTATTGGGATCGTAGCGAGAATTAACTGGTATTACATCCGCAAACAGTGGATTCTAAATTATAAATAGATATTAAAACGGCACGCTAATGCGGTGTATCGCGACATTAAATGTTTTGAATTCGAAATATGAGATTCCTTTCGAGCTCAATTTTTAATTAGATTACTTTGAAATATTAACGACTAACTACATAACATATCACTGATATCACCGATTAGACATCGCAGACTGGTTCACCCGTTTCGTATTAATTCAACGACCAATTCCACGCATTCCCGCGGCACAATATATCCAAAGCGAAACGGCCAATTAACAAAATTCGCTGGAAACAATGCGTTCGTTGGAGTGTCCTTGGCTCGACGCGGTCGCCCCCAACGAGGATCCTTAAAATTTCCGCGAGCAACCAGGATGCGCGTACAGCGTCATAATCGTAATTAATCCCGTCGTCCTTTCTAACAAATAAGCATCAAGGTAAAAACGTACTTTAGCGTAACGTGACTCTCGTTTCAACGGCGCTGCCGGTTCATCTTAACTTTATAAACAGTCGTGGGGGACAATAGTTACCCTCCCAGGTTTTCGGAATTACAACGTCTGCCCGGGCCTGGGTATCATAATATCGTACATACATATACATATATAATACCCTGCCCGACAGCCGTACAAGGACCTTCACTCCGCGAACACGAAACACGCCCGTCCCTGCGCGCACAATGTCGCCTCGCATACTTGGACGACCCGGGGATGAAATCTTAACGAGACGCGGCCCGTTTCGAAACGGGACCGACGACGATGACAACCCTGGCTGGCGTGTGCCCTTGTCTTTCTTTTTTTCCACGTCGTCTGGGCGAAAAAATTTACCCCGCGTCGAGCAATTAATTTATATTTTACGGGAGAGGAGCCGCGAAGCTGGGTTGGGGATAGACGTTTGATAGAATTAGGACTCCGAAGAGTTTGAGGTTATTGGATGGACTCCTTTCGAACTAGATTTTTAAAGAAATTACATTTAAATATAGTAGAATATTGTTGAAATCAATTATTAACGAGCTTTCGGAAGAATTACTCTCTTAACACGTTGGCCGCCACGTCAGCTACATGTGGATTCGCAAGAATTTTTATTAACGAAGTAAATAACAATTTTGAAGAGTTATTAAAGAAACTAAATCTGGTTAGTGTTGGTTTCAATTGCCTCAACAATTTTTCTTCGCAGGGAAGTGTTTGTAAATATCCACGCGGCAGCCAACGTATTAAGGCACGCACTCTACCTATAGAAAATTTTCCCAGCTTTTAGATAATAATTATTTCTACAGGACACAGTCTTCGCGACACCAACTAAAAGCTTATTTTGTTATTCCTGCGGGGGCTTGTGAGAGAGTATACGTAAAACAATAGCACTTTACACGTCACTACCGAAGATTTAATAAACGTGGGAAAAAGTCGGCATATAAAAATATTTTCATAGTCAAATTTAAAGCGACTGGACCAATGACGGGCGCGAATCGATTAAAACGTAATTCCAAAGGCCGCTGGAAGATTCTACGCCGGTCGACGTCGTCGCGAATAATTCGAAAAGAACGCCGCTTAAGCAACTCGACTTCCGGCCGTTCCTCTCGTGGAACAATAAAAAATTGCTCGCAGCGCGTGCCGCGAATAACGTCTCGGGCACTTTCAGAGGCTGCTAGAGAATTCTTACGGGACGTAACGCGGCCGATCTTTGCATCTTTAATGATATGAATAATCCAAAGATGAAATAATTCGACCTGTTCCCATCGATCAACCAAACGCGAAATTTTCCTTGCCTTATTAAAAACTTGAAAAATCATTGGTAATAATTAGTTTTTACTTACTTTATATTTGATATTTTGTAATTCTTGCATTCTATTTAGTTCGCGAATTAGTAATTTGTCATGAAACCATGGTTAATCGATCTTTGGCACGTCGCGACGGCGCAAGAGGATCATCCGTGCTCCTTTCGTCGGAGCGGTCGCTAAAAGCTCTGTAAATTATTGCTGAAAGTTTACGACGACGCTGCAGGGCGCAGCCGCGGTCGCTGCACCCCTAATTGCGCTAATTATTATCGTTTCGGCAGGAGGGGCAGGAAAGTCTGTCTCTTAACTTTCGCGAACGTAGCTTGGTCGCTTTACGGTCGACGACGCGGTACAATCGTCGACGCGTAATTCTCGGGGAACACCGATTACTATGCGACGATTTCTTCGTCAAGGAAGCACCGGAACACGTGATGCCCTGATGTTTTCGACGATCGATATTCCTGAGTTCGCCATTTCGCGATGGAAATTCCAGGAACGATTAGGATTTACATATTAGAAGAATCGAGGTGCAGTATGAATTTATACAAAATATTTCAAAGTGATATCTAAATATAAGTACAAACTTCTAAATATCCCAAAGAAATTTGCATAGTTAGTTTCACGCGTTTGCTACCCAGGATGGATATTGAACGCATAAATAGCATAAACAGTTCGCAACGTGTAGTCGCGCAAACGAGAATGCACAGATATATGGAAACGTTCGCAGGCGTGCACACACGGAACACTTCGTGATACCAACCCCCGCGGTGGTTGGTCGCGCGCTAAAGGTAAAGCACGCCAGTTCGTGCTGAGACGTGAATCGAGACGCAGCCCCATTTTTTATCAGTCCCCCAAATTGTTTCTTATCACGGTTCTGCCAAACTTTTTGACGGTGAACGCGTAAGCCAGGTACGTAAATTTCGATGGTACGCTTTTCAAACAATCACGTGTAAAAACATCGAGTAAATTCACGATAGAGATTTAAGGAACGTTGGACACTTTCTGATTTTACATTGGAATGTTGCTTCGTCGGTTAAGAAATATTTTTCATTTCCATGTAGAATGATGCTAAATCAATCGTTCTACGATACTAAATCAATAGAAACAAATATCTGTTTCAATATCGTGAACACTGCGATTGAAGAATATGAAAATATAATGAGATCGAATACACCGAACATTACAAACTTGCGAATGAAAGGCGGTGCAGCACCGTCACCACGAGACACACAACATCGATAGAAACAATTTACCGTTTCCAATCAGCTGCAATCGGGCTGGAGTGATTGTTAGATTCGACAAAAACGGTAATCGTGATCGATGCGGCCAGAACTTTGTTACCCTGACGGGGCCGGCCGCGTGATTCATCATTTTAACGTGTCTGGGCCCCCGTAAATTGGCGACGTCTCATGATTCGATTCGATTTCACCGCGAAATTTCGGCCAGGGGACCGAGAGAAACGGGAAAGAGGCACCGTGGCTACGAAATAAATTAAAAGTCGACGAAACCGAGCACGAGAACAAAGAACGCGCCGCGCCGAAACGGCCCCGAAGCGACGCACAAATATCGGGACAAATCACGTTGCGTAAGAGGCCCCGGCGTCGCCGTCGACCGCCCCCTTTTTATTTCCCGGAAATTTCGCCGCTAAATTTATTCGCCTCGCAGCGCCACGGGCGAAAGCATGACCGGAGACTAGCGTTCTTTGGACGATTTGAATTTTTAACTCGTTTACTCGCTCTTCTATACACGGTATAAAATTAAAGACATCCTATTAGTTATAATTGGCGAGTGTAGTCGTCTCGCGCAAGATGCGATAGTATTTCAACCCTTTGCACTCTCTGGCTCTCCGGTAGAATGGCATACGTGCGCTACATTTTTCAATTATTGTAGAGCAATATAAATTGAACCGGTAGAATAAATCATTAAAATTTAAATTACAAGTGTTTTCCGTTATCATAACTAATATGATTCGAACCACTATTTAATAAATCTAGCAAAAAATGAGAGGTCATAAAAAGCAACGAAACTAAGCGTTACCTTTCTTTTCCTCCTACGAAATGACGGTCGTGACCAAAAAATTCTAGTCCACCTGGCAAAAAACTTCTGCATCCTTCGCACCTATCTAATACCGTCTGTCTCTTCGTTCACCTGTCGCGAAATCCCATCAACGGAATTAGCAGCTGTCGCAAAGCCGATTTACCTTGTCGTTTAAATCATGCGAACAGGTCTGTCTCCGTTTCATTGCAGAAGCGTGTCCGCGTCAGCTACACCCACACCCGCACCGCGTGTACATGCACGAACACAAATCGGAAAGGTGGCTAACCCACACCCGGGAACCGAATCAGGTTATCCTTGATATTTAACGATTGATTGGCAGGATTGGCAATTTGGCCAATTACCGCGGTGTTCTTCGAGAGTATTCGCGGAATAAACGAATCAAAATTACATAGTCGGTCTCGAAAGTATCCGGAATGAAATTTCTTGACGATCCGAGGCCGAAGGGCGATCGGAACGGGGCACCATGTTTATTCGGGCGAAATTCCGCAAAATTATTCTCGAGATCGTGAGTTATGTCGGACAATGAAGACGATTAACTTTCTTCAGCGATGTGGCGCTTAAACTGTCTAGGCTCTGGGATCGTGGAACTAGCAGTACTAATAATTAACACGTTAAACGTCACGGCTTTTAACACGTTCGCGATCGACAGATATTTCACGTTTCTAATACCGAGTGCTGACGAAAATAATAAAATTCTGAAGCTGGACATTGCAAATTCCCTGTTTACTATCTATAAATTTGAGTAACCACAATCTAAACGGTCAAAGAAAAGTAGATGAAAACCACAAATGAAAGTTGCGTAAAGGGGAGACTTGCGTAATAGTGATGTACCAAAAAGCGATTCCCTCTTTTCCTCCCCGAGAAAAGCAATTAATTTTCTAATTAAACACTCACCGCTCGGCCTTCGTTTCCTCAAATTCCTCCCAGCATTCATCGGCCAACGTTAGGCGGCCATTCGACTCGATCCGATAAAATCGAAGAGGCAACGACAGCGGCGTCTGCGAAAGTTTTCAGGAAGCCCATTTCGACTTAGCAATTTCGCCGAGGCTATTTCCACTTTTCCAATTCTTTCCACCGCCCGCATCGTCGGTGTTTCCACGCGTGGTCGTGACTTTTCCACGCAGCACCGAGTCGTAAAGTCTACGACCATAGGCGAAGCCCGGCCTGGCTATCGATTTCGCGTGTTTCCTTTCGGAAATTGCCTTGTTTTTTTTTTCTCTCTCCCGTCGTGTTTAGGGCCACGGGGAAGATCGATACGATATCGCGATACCTTCGAACCTGGGTGGCCCTTGCGAGTGGCCACACTGCGCGAATCTGCCTTAATTCCCGTCGTTCGCAACTTGGACACTCCAAACGTTATTTAGCTACGCGTTACTCTTTTCTTTTTATCATTTACGTACAGTGTACAGTCGGATCATAGGTTTATCGAACTAAATTGGACGAACGTGAATCTCGAAGGTTCGCGATTCTGCAGAGCTGGTGGGCCCATTCAGAAAGCGAAAGAAAAATTCGCGTGTTCTGGACGAACGAAGAAGGGAACGAGGGGAGGGAAAGGGCGAGAGAGTAACGCTTTAAATCGCCGAGCAGGGACGAGAGGACGCGAGCGGAGCAAGGCCGCGCTCGCCTCGTAATCCAGACAGATGGGACTCGTTAATGGGACGCGCGAGTAATTTGCAAGAAATCTAATAACACCGTGGATGTCTCTCTCCCTCCTGCGTTCCCTTTCTCTGCCCATAATTCGTGGCCTGACTTTTCCCCCTTGCCGACCGTCGTTGGCCTCTCTCTAATGACAATACACAGGGAGGGCACCCCGCTAGTGAAAATTAAAATTCGCCCTGAAGCACTGCTGGATTGCGCGAGCACGCCATCCTACGACCGTGGTGGCGTATAAACGAAAAAGTGTGAAATCGTGTGCGTGCGCGTGGGTGCGGGTGACCCAGCCAGGGGCTAGCAATGGACATCCGATTTTTACAAGTTTCCGAACAATTCACGAGTGGAAACTTTCTTTACAACTTTCTTTACTTTTGCACTTCACTTTAAATTCTATTTCTGGTTATGAAAAAATTCTGATCCTTTTATTTTATACGCTACATATTCACAACACTGATATTTCAAAATTTTACGATATCGAGCTTCAGAGTTTTATCACTTTCGCCAGTACTCGATATTAGAAACGTGAAACATCTGCCGGCAGCGAATGCGTAAATATTAATTTGCTACGCGTACTCACAACGATCGGTCGACTGTCAATAACACGCCGTCCAAAACAGAACTAACAGCTTATCCGTCGTGGGCTCCGATCGCGGTCGCGTCCCCTCTCTCATCCCCCAATTTACCCTTACTGTGTACTTTCCGTAATTCTAGGAATGCGTACAATTCAACGACGTCGATGTGTACGTTTCTTTTATGGCGTTTCGAGGAATTCTTATCCTTTCTTCTCTCGTCGTTCGCGATCCAATAATTTCTGGAAAATTACCGATCGGCAAAATTCAAGTTCGCCACGTGCAAGGACGACTCGATTCGTAAAACGTTCCAAGTTCGATGTTCCTGATAGCGGTGCTCGGTTAACAAGAGGAATGTCAACGAGCACGCAACAGCAAGAAACAATTCATAAAGGGAGGAGGGAGGGGATCGAGCTACCATCCGACTCCGTTATCGAACGATCGCCGTCCAATCGAGGATGGATCCGCAAGATCGATCTTCGTGGGTGGACCAACGGGGTCGGCGAGGCTGATTCGCAAAAGAACAAAGACGCGCGAAACAAAACGCGCCTCGTCGTCGGAGGAGCGAAAGTGAGGGAGGGCCACGAGATGGAAGAGGACGGCCAGCAAAAATAGAACAGTTTCTACTGGCGAAAAACAGAACCACCAGAGGGGTCAGCGGAGAGGAAACAGAGAAAGGAGGCGAAACAGAGGAAGATGCCGATCTCTTCGCGGAATATGTTTACATTAAAGGCGCGCCGTGGAAAAAAAGGCCGGGACGAACCGCAAACTGCTTAACGAGTCCTGCTCCTTTCACCCCCAACTCCTCACCTTTTCTCTTCTATGCGGTGCCACGAACTTGCAGCGCATGCACCCACACGGCAGCCTTCACAGCGATGGCCTCGAGTCGTCTCTAAGACGAGCAACTAAAAAATTCAACCTTTCGCGAATTAAATTTGTTCTCGACGACGTGAACGCCTGTGGTCAATACTATAAGAATACGATACTGAAGAACATCAAAGAATATTAAAGCGGATAATCATCGAGAAGAATTTCGTTTGAAACCAAAACGGGTGAATCTAATTTCCCCGAAAAGTTGTATCTGTATCGTGATAATCAGTACACCGAAACCTCCAGTGTTTCCTTGAAATAAACTTCAAAGTACCACAGATTCCTTTGCCAGCATCGTTCCTCCGAACATCCCCGAGGGAGTATCTCGCCCGTTCATTCGTCGATTCGAAGTTAAAACAATGTATCGCGCAATGCGAGAGAAGCACGCGATCCCAGAACCGTAAACGGTTGCGCCGCGGAGATTAAGAGCCGATTAAAATTCATGGCGTGTCAGGCAGTATAATTCGATTTCGTAGGTGTTCGTGCAGATCGAGTTACCCGAGGCGGACTTCTTTTCTCCGGGGAGGCCAGCAGAAAGGTGCCACGAAAACGTCCGTGCCCCGTTCGCGGGGACAAACCCCTGACATCGATTAATATTGAAACGCGGCTCATTATCGATTCGTCACGCTAACCGACCGTGAGGAGCCGCGACTTACGGATTCCTCTCGTATCGTGTTACGACGCGATCCTGTCTGTTTCCTTGGACCAAGGACGCCGGCGAACGATGATAATGCGAGATGATCGTTCACGTCCGTGCGGATTCCACGCCGTTTCGTTCCGATTGGTTCGAGCCAACAGTTGGTTGACTGGGAAACGCTAGAACGGGAGGTATTCGTCCTCGAGTGAATTGTTTCGCTCTGCAACTGGAAGGGTTGGTCGCTGAGGGTTGGTATATCGATCATCGATGAGGTGAGTACACTGTTCATTGGTAGCTATAACTGGACCAAATTTCAATTCCATGTTCTACAAGTGTCATCTAGAGGGTACTATTAGGTAGACTGGAAAGTTATGTCCTTTCTGTAATTTTAAATAATTTTTTTTTTACCATCCATTTGCACATTAGATGGCAAAAGTCATTTTTCGCGAACAGTGCTGGCGTCATTTCGACGAGACAGCACCGGTGGTCCAGCGAAGGAAGAAGAAGAGGAGAGTAAATGGCTTCCTTCAAAATCGAGCCAGTCGGTCAGGGCCCCGGGGCAAGTAGCTGACAGTCGCGCGGCCGAGAACTAATCTATCCCACACCTCGGCCAGCAGCTGGGAAAAGGAGAAACAAATTTCGGAATAGCCTGCTAAACAACGCTTTTAATGCGGTGCCACGGCCCGAGAGGGCCTCCGGGCTCCCCCGTCCACCGAAATCGGACCACCTGCTGATCGGGAATTACCTGAAACCGATGTACCGTTTGATACGACGCCCACCGCGATGCGATTCTGGCCGCGTCGATCCGTGTCCTTCCTGATGGATCGCGGGAAACGATGAATTCGATCTGCTAAGTGGAGGGACGGAGTCGCCATCGGGCTCTGTTTACACTGCAGCGGCTTGTTGCGGAGCGTGGTTGAAATTCTTGAGGAGGGTCGATTTTAATGGGACACTGCGCAAACGCGCGTGTTACAACGGGAATTTATAATTCCCGTGCGAGAACCTCGTGCGTCTTGCGTATCAAGATCCATATACACACCGTTCTACGGATTTTGCCATGACTTTTATGAAATTGAAGCCACCTGGTATTGCGACTCACGTGTTGGACATGCGTTTACTCGAATCTTTTTTGTTATTTTCAGATCCCAAATCTGTTTTAAGAAGGTCCAAGCGTTGAGAAGCGTTTTACATAACTTTGTTCGTCTTAGAAGAGCTTCGAAAGAACAGGACACCTTGGAATGGACTTTGTCATCACGAATTCGTAAGAACTATCATATTCAGAATCGCTTTCCTAAGACCCAATATTATTCTACGTTCTTCCTCTCTTCTCTTCTCTTTTCCATTGCTTTGCAGATGCTCTTTTTTTACTTCTGCATCCAACATACACCTTATGCGCGTATATATTCAGTTCACTTTCCGGGCGGTAGATCTCGTTAGCGATCGCAACAATCTCGTTAGAGAGTAAGCATCGTTGCACAAACGAGCCTGCCCAATCAACGTGGAGATTAGAACCGCATTCCGCAACATAGCAGCACAATTTAATCGAACCACGTGTAATTACGTAGGTTCCCTGTGCCTGACCCCGTGGAATTTCGAAAAGGACTCGTCGAGCCCGACTGATCCTCATGGGATCGAGGAAGGAGCGAGATGCTAACGAAATCGTTATTCGATTGCTGTCTACCTCCTCTCGTTTCGTGCCACAATGTCGCCTGACGGAAGCGTGACGACTGTCTAGGAACCATGCCTCGCAACCGCGTCGACGTTGAGGGTCTTGAGATCACGGTTCAAGGTCGCTCGACGAGTTCACGGCCGCGGTTCGTTCGGTGAAACCGAACGGAAAGAAAAAGGACGCGTGAAAGCGAAAAAGAAAAAGGAAGAGGAAAGTGAAAAGAAAGAGGAGAGCGACGGCGGATGATCGATGGTGAGAATCGGTTGGACCAGTCACTGTGGCTTCGTACAGGAGAAGACATCAGCTCGCGGAGGAGGTGCCAGGACTCTACATTCGGCGCCTCACGCTCGAGGACCCCAGGAGCGCGCGGGAACCGTCGAGTTCAAGGTCGCAGTCTCCGACACGCCATATCTGTCATCCTACCACCGGTTACGTGCCCTCCACCAGGAGATCCTCGAGGTACGCTCTCTCCTTTCATCTCGCGCGAACGAACTCAACGCTGATCGCATACTTTGGATCAGAGATGGGAAAATGAATTCTACGATTAACGGTATAGTTGGTCGGTTTCAGTTCTAGATTATAGAGTGACTATAACTACCTAGCTCGACGATTCATAGCGTATCGAACACCCTGCAGACGATTGACACAGTTTTCTAGGGAACGTCCAAAATGCTAAACTTCCTTCGACAATTCTAGGACACCGCTTATTAACCGAATCACCGACCTAGACAACTTTCAGGCGCCCGAGCGGTTCGTTGACGCCACGTAGGAACCCGTAATTAAACGCACTAAAATTTAACTGTCTGGACGGAAGAAACGATCGGTGCCGCGCGACTTAATGAAACCTCGAATGCGATCATGCCCTTCACGTTAAACCCTTAAACGTTGTTTAAGCAGCTATCGTATCCAAAATAAGCGTATCTGAGCATCATTATCATCGACGTTTCTCTCCTCGTCTCACAAAGTTGCTCATTGTTCCTCGTCTTTCCCCCAGGAATTCCTCTTTTTCGCCGTTTCTCAGCGACGCTCCAGACGCGAGAGTAGTATTATATTTCGTGGCTGACCCCTGAGCCCGAGATCCGGGCAAGGTTACCGAGTTTATTGCGAGTTTAGAACGTGCTCTCGTTTCTCGTGAATCCACCACCGCTGGATCGCCGCTTCGGAGGAATTCTTTCTCCTTCGTCGCTTCCTCCGGTTCTGCTGACACCGTCGTGGCCCATTTATCGACTCGCGCACTTCTCAACGTACCTTCAATCGTTCAATGGACGATTTGCTAACGTCATAATAACGTATCATAATAACATTTATTTTATTATAATACGACAATGACAGTTCACGTATGCACAGCTTGCATCCGTCCAAGATATTCATCCTTTCAGAGTAAAATCCCATCAACAAGAAACGATCCTGTCTGAACGTCAGAGAGGAACGAAATCCTCTCCGCAATGACTTCTTTCCCAACTGCCTGAAATCATCTCAAGTATAGGTGATTACGAAGTAGCCGCGGAAAACGTTCTCTCACACCATTTCCCAGAAGTGCTTCCCCCTATTCGTGACACGCTCCTTCACTTGTTTCCATTCCCCTTTCTTTTTCTTTCCGACGATTCTCTTGCAGCATCCTCCCCGTGTACCGAAAGT